GACCGGTGTGCGAGGCATCGACCGTGAGGGTGAGGCCGAGAGGTGGGGAGGGGGGGGGGGGGGGAGAGTTGCAGGTGAGGGAAGATGGATGTTTGCTTTGGGGATGGATGAGGTTCAGGATGAGGGAGCGCACGGTGTCGCTGTGGCAACGCAACACATTAAAGGGCCTCACAACAGATTTTTTCCATTATCGATCCGTACGCGAGCATTACGTGCGCTGTGTGCTCCGAGTTTTAAGAAGACGATCCACATTAACTACATCTTTTGTCAACTAGAAAGTAGGGTGCGTGAGTTTTTATTTCCCCTCAGAGATTTTATTTTTTTGAGTTAAGCCAGACGCCTGTCCTCCCATTTAGGTGATTTAATGGACCGAGGACTTATTTGGGGATTTAGTGGAGGAGAAGAAAGGCGGAGGGAGCAGAGAACAGAGTGTAGCCCCTTGGAGAATCCCAATACAATGTGTGCTTATCTTTTTGAATGTCACCTTCAGTTTCTTTTCTTTTTCTTCTGTATTGAAAGACACTCCAGGCACTTACATACACATACATTTGTAAAACTAGCACAAGCACACACAAAATCAGTCATGGCCCAGAGTATAAAATGATTTATTCATTTATTGTTTTCTGGCGTGTTTTTAAATGGCTGCAATCACACGTTCACTTTCCTGGGTTAGTTTCTTTGAACGTTGCATTCCTACAGACAGAAGTGCAATATTTCATGTAATATACTGCTATTAAGCCCTATTTTAGCTTTTCCCCTTTTAGAGTGATGAAAAAGAATGATTGAGTTCATAAATATGGATGACGCACAAAGGCCTGAGAAGACTGTTTCCATGTGAACCATTGAGGTTGAACTAGAGAACAAATATCTCTTTGCCAAAATGATCCCTACCAATTTAGTAGCAGTAGTTTCTTCTTCATATGTGCATGAGTGGAAATCGTATACAAGGTGTAGTGTAGGCATCAATGGTATCCACAGCTGTTTGTGATATTAGCGGTTTAAAGGCTGCCACGGCACGGCTCATTACCCAGCTAATGGGAGGAGAGGGTGACCCCGCTAACTCACTCCGAGCCCTCCCGCCCCCCCCGGGGTATTACGGCTGGACTGGCACACGGCCGGCGGGACCAAACTAAGGCCGTGAGGGAATGTGGAGTGCACAAAGGTTATTGCACGTATGACAGGGACTGTGTTTATCCACAAGATTTCAACGTAGATTCCGGATCGCGTCAGCCGAGAAAGAACAAAGACCCGTGCCGATTAGTTTCCCGCCGCAGGTAAGGCCGCCTTGCGTAGACCAACAGGGCGTTCGACGACAGCACATGCACAGCTACCGTCTGGTGTTATTCCTCAAAGGCTCTGATGTCTGAACGGTGAAAGCAGACGACTGCACACTCATCCGCCCACAGGCACTCGGGCGGGTGTGTGGGCGCAGCGGCTCGTCACCTCCTCCATCCTTCCATTGGCCAGCCTCCGACGATACCCCCCCCCTGTGTGTTTGCGTGTCTCTGAGGCGCTCGCACATGACCGATCGGAGGAGCTACACGGCGGGAGGCCCGAGTCTTCGCTTGCCTCAGTCACTCATTAACTAGTGCTTGTGCTGAAATGAGCAGAATGCGTCAGAGAGATGAAAGATGATTGATTTTGTCAAGGAGTTTGTCTGCAGAGGATCAGGAGTTAACATAACGAGGGAGAACGTGAGCTTCCTTGTATGTTACTTATTACATGAAGGTATCCATCAAAAACGAACACGAAGAAGAAGCTCCGTTGTTTTCACTACACTCGGAATTTAGATTCTCCAACTGCTTGTCTGAGGCCGTTTGGATGCTGACTGTTCCCCCCCCCCCCCCCTTTCCTCGGTGGGTATGAATGAATGTGGTCTAATGCTAACGGTCAGCGTTAGCTTTTGTGTCTCCCCCCAGCGTCGGTTGGGGAAAGCCGCTGAAACCCCTCACGCAAAGCTCCCCGGCTCAGCCGAGCCTGAAATTGGCTTGAATGGAAGCGGTAAGCGGCGGCGCGGCACATTAGTCTCGGCTCCATTGTTACACCTCCGTACACTGGATCTCGTTGGTGGCAAGTGAAGCAGTGGTTTGGATTCACCAGCCTTCGACACACACACACACACACTTGGAGATATCTTTTTGGGACACATCAACCCATTCCCACAGAGTTGAAATGACATACTTACAAAGTTGCTTAATCATGTAGCCGGTACATCGCACACTATCGGCATTCAATGGATCCTTGTTTATGTTACATGTGCACTCCCCATGTGGGTTCATCACCACAAGCTGTTGGCTACAAATTATGGTCCATTGTTGCAACAAAAATATTGATTGATAGACACTTTCATTGTACTGTACAGACTGGTACAGAAACCAGGGGTACCCAAACCTTTTTTGCCTCACCGACCGGTTTCTTGTTAGAATTTTCTTTGCGAACCGTCTTGAAGGTGCTGCAGATAAACACGACAAACCCAGTAGCAGACGGACCGGCCCACTCAGGTGGTCGCCACGCACGAGAACGCTTGGGTGAAGCTTGGGAATTGTGTCAAGAGGGACAAGCAGATGTAATTGGGAGAGAATCCGGCCATTTGTCAAAATAAAACATTTTTCAGAAAAACAAAGTCAAGTGAAAAGAAGACGTTTTCCTTTCTGCGGCCAGAAAGATCAAAAAGATTCTGCGGTTGGGGACCCCACCTCCAAACCATCATGCCCCGCAGATGGAGCTCTACTGGTCACGCCCAGGTCAAAGTTCATGGAGCCGCCACCATATAGAACCCTGAACACAGTCAATAGTCTCACTAGTCTCTCTTTCAAAACATTTGCATTTGTAATAGCTTTTAGAAATGATTGTACATTTCTTACTCCTTCTACTCCTCCTCGCTCATCTCCTCTGACCTTTTTTCATTTTAGCAGCCTGAGAGGGTTTCATTATTGTTTGTAAAGCACTTTGTAAAGTTGTTATAAAATGTACTATAGTATAATTACCATATTGTCATGTGTGCACTTTTAGAGAGGAAAGCAATTCCTCTTCCATGATGCAGCAACACATAAGCTGAAGCCAATAAAAGAGAATAGATTTTTCTGGTATGCGCTCTGTTCCTGAGCTCTTGCGTGTCCACGTGTGCCTCATTGATCCTGTTTTCTGAGCAGACCAAAGGTCCCAGGTACGTAGTTAGCAGTTAGCTATGGAAACCTGCTAGTGCGCCTACTGAGCTGTTGTGTAAAATCCTTTACACAATAAATAGATAAATGTATTTACAAAATCTTTCACCCCACAGATTACACAGCGACAATTGCGAACTAAACTTGTTTGATTATGTAACGGCCAAACTATTCTAAAGTATAGGATCTAATAGCTAAGGCCCCCTTAGTAGGAAAAAGTAAAAAATTAAATGATCCATGGCACAATGGGTTCCGATGTGTTTCCCCGGGATAAATTGAAATTAAATTCAGTGCATCTTTCGCATATTTATTACCTCCGTCGGTGGGAGAAATGTAATTCCACGAATAAGAATGCATCATTCAGTACACAAGATCTCTGATTAGGAGTCAAGTTCTTTCATTTGGAACGCTCAGACTGTTCCTCTCTTGGTCCCTCTCGTGTGAGACAATAAAGAGCAATAACGGGAGATCAGTGCAGGATTACAATTCACACACTTCTCCGGCTCTGTTGTATAAAAGAAAAACATGTGGCTGCAGAGGTGCAGATGAACACAGAGAGGCTAAAGCGAACTAAATTACTTCTGCACTTTGTATGTGTTTGTGCGTGTGTGTGTGTGTGTGTCTGCTAGGTATTTGGCGACTAAATGTACGGGTACGTTTCAGACATTTGATGTCTTTGATGTAATGTAATGCAGAGATGACTGCAGCAACGTTTCACCCCAGAGAACCTATAGGAGGAGGCTCACTATCATATCATCATTTTCATTCCTGCTTTAATTTAGTCTCAATCTTATTTCCCCAATTCATGTCCTCCGGTCAACTTTCTGTCTTTTAACTTAGTCTCACGCCCTGCCTCTGTCAATGCGATGTCCATCTCTGGGACTCAATGTAGACAGAAAGCCTGACTAAGCCAAATGCTGCTGGAATAATCCCGCCTTCCCCCGTGTGCCACTCAATTCAGTCTGCTGGGAAAAGAGACAAAGGCGTAGAACGGCAGGTATCCATTCCCTCCTCCCTTCCGCCGCGTTAGGCCGTTGAAGCTGTGGACACGGGTACCGGGACCCGTCGCACTGGGACCGTGACGGACTGCTCTGAAAGATGCAGTCGTCTTAATTTGCAATGCAATGCAATGCGTTTTGGGTTATCTCCCGGCAGACAGACGCAGGACACCTGCGTGGGGATTTCAGTCAGCCTCGACATATGTAATTAAATGGGAATAATTGGTTTCATTCATTTTGTCATCTTGTTTTGTTCTCTCCATTTGTTTACGGTGTTTGGCCCATCGCTCACGCGCCCACTGTTCTGACCGTCGCTACCTTTCCCTTTCTCCATTAACCACTGCAAAAGTAATCTCTCCTCTTTTTTTTTTCTTTTGGTGCCTTCTCCATTCTTTTCACGAAGTAAGTGGGATCTCGTTTTACGTGTGGCTGTGTGTGGTGTGCGTGGTGTGTGTGCGCCGCAGGTAAGTGTGTTGCTGCCATCATCAGGCAGAAATAGAAAGCTGCACTAGTCCTTGATTTAAAAAAAAAAAACCTTCCGTGTTTCACAGTTTTCACCTCAGCGTCAGCCTCCTGCTTTTTGCTCCATAAATACCAGCTCATGCAGTTCTCAAAGTCCCTAAAGTCTTCACACCCAAACCACAGTAACAGTGTCCTTCCCCGGGGTGTCGATTTTAAACTTTTATTTTTTTCATTCCCATTTAATGTTTTATTTCCCCCTGGGACTGTGTCATGTCTTGTTCGCCCTGGTTCATGCTAGTTTTTTTTTCGCCCCCCCCCCCCCCCGTCCTTGACCTCACTCTCCCCCCCCCACACTTACCCACCCAACTTCCTCTAGCTCAAGCAAAGCGAGGCCAACGCTGACACCAAAGAGAAGCTCCCTCTGCGACTCCGGATTTTCGAGAAGTTCCCCAACAGACCTCAGATGGTGAAGATCTCCAAGCTCCCGTCGGATTTCACCGTGCCCAGGATCAGGTACCCACAATATATCCTCCATAGATACCGTACCTATTTATACCCGAAGGTCTGCAATCAAATGTCTGTTTCTAAAAAGATCCTTGGCACGTCCTTAGCCAACCATTTTATAGTATTTTTGGGGCCTAAAGAAAAGACAATCTGGGCGATTTCTACGGTGCTCACATGCTGCGAGAAAAGAACCAGAAATCAATATTTCAGACTAGCGCCCAAGAAGATAGTAACCAATAGTATTCTGCAAGAAGTCCTTTTGTATATCTCTTTGTGCTGTTTTTCAGCAGCAGAGCCGACACACTGGACCCCATAATCGATTTTATTGTTTAGTAGCTGATGAAATGCACAGCTGGGTCCTTCGCTCCCGGAGAAGCCCCCCCCCTCTGCAGCCCATCTGCTGTGCCGCTGCAGCGGGAGCTCCTATTTAATGTATACTGTACCGTAACAAACTGAACCGTTTTACACTTCTCTGCGTTGTGTGTGTGTGTGTGTGTGTGTGTGTGTGTGCGTTGCGTACTCCAGGGAGAGTTTTATGAAGCAGTTCATTGATCGTCAGCAGCAGGACACCAGTTGTTTGTTTCGCCGTCTCCCCTCCGCATCCTCGTCCTCCTGTGACCACTCCAAACGCTCAGCCATCGAGGACAACAAGTATATCGACCAAAAGGTACGTTCTTACTTACACGCACACAGAAAGCGGATGTGAAATGGATGATTGTTTGTAACGCAGGAGAAAAAGCAATAAGAGGCAAATAGAAAAAACAGTAGAAGTAGTAATTGTTGTTTGTGTGGTACACTATGCACTTAACAAACTGCCTCACTGTGTGCTCTCCCTCAGCTCCGCAGGTCAATATTTAGCATCCGAGCTCGTAACCTCCTGGAGAAAGAGAACACTATCAATAAAATCCTGAGGTAAGACACTTACCTGCACGTCTCCCATGAGCATCGTCTTGGTAACTTTGCAGATCCACAAGCATCTAGTTTGTGAATTAACAAAATGTCAATGGCTGTAGTTTAATGTTTATTAAGGAAGTATCGTAAAACTCCTCCTGCACCACCAAACAAACTCCACATGTGTTTTGACTCCGTCTGTGGTCAACTGATGAAAGTGTCGATCGGTGACCTTGAGCAGCCAGCTAAAGTACTAAAAGTCTGGTTACGTAAAGCAAGTCCTCTAATGAAGTGATTCATCTTTTCCCCAGAATATTGTATTTATTGGCTGCTGTCGGGATTTAATGACAATTTGAAAAAAATCTAAGAAAAAGCTCTTCTTGAAGAAGAAGACTAGTGGCCCTGGTTTTAATCCGGAGACGGTGCTGACACCATCCTCTGCAGGATAGTTTACATTCGGTTTTGCACCATTCAGTCCTGCAATACCGAAACGCACACATGCGCCGACGCACACAGACCCACTTCATAGTCCCCATTAAGCTGTCAATGGATGATTTGCTGTTTAGCATGACCGAGCTGCCACTAAGTGTGGATTAGCCCGCCGCTACATGTCCAATCTGTCCCCCCTAGACCCCTTGTTTAGTCAGTCTGCAAGATAGACAGCAAATCAGTAGTCACAACACGTTCTAACCGGCCTGCCGTCATTCGCACAAACGCACAATTAAGGCTCTCTGTCACCTCGACAAACAAACACGCAGTCAAGCACGCGCAGTGCCAATAAACAAGTAAATGTTTAAAGCGCACGGCGGCTGCGTTGTTGCTCTGTTGTGGGACCTCACTGCTGTGAACAGACAGGGATGCCCACAAACACACACTGACTCAATGATTGGAAAATAACCACGGCTGCAGGATGACGAAGGTCGAGGGTCCCTCTTTAGGCACCACATCCGGCTGTGTTGTGGAGGCCAGCTGCTGACCTCCCACACTGATATTCCAAACTGTTTGGATTTGAATCTCCTTTTTATTTTAAGCAGGAGAGAAACGAAAGCGTGTTTGTGTTTTGCAGGGCTTGTACCACGCAGCGTATGCTAAGCGGATCCTTCGAGGGCCAGCCCGCCAAAGAGCGCTCCATCCTCAGTGTGCAGCATCACATCCGCCAGGAGCGCAGGTCTGACCGCGCGCACATACACACACACACACACACACACACACACACACGACCACAAATGCAAACGATGGCTATTGCTTTACTGCGTCACACATGTCTGCTCTTCGCACCTGCAGATCTCTGAGACATGGGTCCACCAGTCAGAGGATCAGCCGGGGGAAGTCGCTCGAGACGCTCACCCAGGATGTGAGCGCGCGCACACGCTCACACTGACGCGCTGTAACTCACGCTGGAGTGTTTTTGTTGTTTTGTCCCTTCACCAGTATTCCCTCAAGACAAAAAAGGGAAACAAAAGGGGTTATTTTATAAATGTGTCACGTCTTCTCTTCCCCCAGCATTCTAGTACGGTGCGCTACCGTAATGCGCAGAGGGAGGACAGTGAGATCAAGATGATCCAGGAGAAGAAAGAACAAGCAGAGATGAAACGGTATTTGTACACACACACACACGCACGCGAACATTGGCCCCCTGTTTGGTTCTTGTTGTTCCGTGACTGTTGTGCAAAGTCAACTGTTTTTGTCCCATCTCTGTGCTCGTAGGAAAGTGCAGGAGGAGGAACTGAGGGAGAACCATCCGTACTTTGACAAGCCTCTCTTCATTGTGGGAAGGGAGCACCGCTTCAGGAACTTCTGCAGGATGATTGTTCGGGCTCGTTTTAATGCGTAAGATCTTATCTGCATCTGGTCTGAAGGTGTTTCTTCTTCCCAGCTTCCCGTAGCTCAAAATGCTGTAAAGTCGGACTTCAGCACCAAATATATAAACAATATTAAGATGTATTCTTGCTTCTTGCTTCTAACCAATGTTGTACCATTAATTCTTCTTGTATGAATTCACATCTAGATCTAAAACTGATCCCATAACAGGAGCAGTGAAGAACACCAAATACCACCAGCTGTAGTAAGTGTGATGAATTATTGATCCCTCACCCCTCTGGCTATTGATCTGTCCGCTCTGCAGCAGTGGGATACTTATTAATTCTTATTACCCGCCAGTTGTGCTCGCCCCAAAAACTAGCGGTAAGGAATGGAGCTGGTGAAGTGAGGTTCCATTATGCAACCTGATTGTAATTCATGCGGAGCTGCTTATTCAAATGAGATCTAGTCCCTTTGTATCAGATACTGTTGGTACCGGCGGGGGGGGGATTATTTTTTTCACTGACATCCTCCTGCAGCAGAGATCGCTCGCACACACAGAATAAGAAGATACCTCTCCTCACATTCCTCTCCCTTGGTCAGCCGCCAATCCTTCTCATGAATCATCCCTGAGTATCTGCTGGTTTCACTTGACCTACTTCCCACAAATCAACTGTTTTTCCTGTGTGAGCAAAAACATGTAAACAGGACACGCTAATGCGAGTGTCCCCCGCAGCGATCTTCTGGGCCTCGTCACCTACCTGGACTGGGTCATGATCGTGGTGACCATCTGCTCGTGTATCTCCATGATGTTTGAATCGCCCTTCACCAGGGTCATGCATGCCCCCACGCTGCAGGTATGAAGAGCTGCGCGGGGGCGAGTGAGCGAGCGGACGCGGTATTGGCACACGACTGTCGCTACGCTCCTCTCGTTTCAGATCGGGGAGTACGTGTTTGTGATCTTCATGAGCATCGAGCTCAACCTGAAGATCATGGCCGACGGCCTGTTCTTCACCCCCACCGCCGTCATCAGAGACTTCGGAGGAGTCATGGACATCTTCATCTATCTCGTGAGAAGTCTCAACCTGGCTTAGTTCATTTCTGAAATATTAAATAATGTGCATCCAGCACACATTGATGCCTTCCTTTTTGGCCCCGCCCGCCCTGTCGCTCTCTATTCTCTGCAGGTGAGTCTGATCTTCCTGTGCTGGCTGCCTCCTGACGTCCCTCCTGAGTCTGGGGCTCAGCTGCTGATGATGCTGCGCTCCCTGCGGCCGCTCAGGATCTTCAAGCTGGTACCCCAGATGAGGAAGGTGGTGCGGGAGGTCCTCAAAGGGTTCAAGGAGATATTCCTGGTTCGTTGTTAGCCTCAATTTCCACTTGTGTGCGCATAATCTAAAGGCTTTTGTCTACAGATTATGGTTTGTTTGCGTATTACATTTACGCAGACAAACCACATGGTCGATGTGCAAGAACATGACTCAGTCTTCTCACTCAGACTTACTTGGGAAAGCGTACTGAGGAGAAAGCTCAGGCATCTGGCAGCTAGTTATTTATTTACACCTCAGGGAAGTGAACATTGAACCTACCTTGATGAGGCTTGAATGCAACACTGTGAAACTGTGAAGATGGTCCCGTAAAAGGCTTTTTGATGTGTGAAGGACTACTATAAGCTTTTTAAGGTGGTGGACGTTTCAGTATTAATAATTTATAGTAGATTCTTGCAAAAACACCATCAAGATTTGAACATTAATGCATGATATGCAGCGGTTTGTACTGTGCTCTTGCATTCTGCATTCCTTGCCTTTTCTGGCATTTTCTTACATTTCGCTGCGCCTGTCAAGGGGCTTCTAATTATTTTATAATGCAATAGTTAGCGATTCTCTCTGGGTCCGATGTGGATTTTCCCAGCTGAGTTCTCCGCATCCGCATCTGGGTGACTTCCTCAGCCTGCTCTCTGATCTCACACTCATTATTTTGAACTATCTGCATTAAACTCTTGATCGATTCTCCTGCAGGTTTCCATTCTGCTCCTCACACTGATGCTGGTGTTCGCAAGCTTCGGAGTTCAGCTGTTTGCCGGAAAGCTTGCCAAGTGCAACGACCCCCATATCCTCAAACGGGTACAGCCAGCACACCAATCACTAAACCAGCCACTTCCCAATGCTCACTCCCCGCACAGAACCGCAGGCTGGACAAACACAGTGGTTTCCCAGTCAATCAATAATACGTTTCACTCAATAAGATGAAGAGATGAGGGATTATACAATGATGAATTTACCACCATAGTAAGGAGGAGAATCATGATGTTTTCAAATTGTTGGTAGAATTTTAATTATTTAAGATATGGGTTACTTGATTTGTCATTTCAACAAAATGCTAAAGGACTTCACTAACAGCTCTTCTAATGGTTGCTTCCTTCTGCGTTTGGCTGTGAACTGTCTTGTGTTGCAAAGGACGACTGCCACGGTATATTCCGAATAAATGTCAGCGTTTCCAAAAACCTCAACTTGAAGTTGAAGCCAGGAGAGAAGAAACCTGGATTCTGGGTACCGAGAGTCTGGTATACCGGCTTTTTTTTAAAAGTTAGTTATTTATTGATTGATTTAATTTTGTTCCGCTTCAGGTAACCAATTCTGTCCTTCAACAGGGCCAACCCTCGTAATTTCAACTTTGACAATGTGGGAAACGCCATGCTGGCTCTGTTTGAAGTGCTGTCCCTGAAAGGCTGGGTGGAGGTCCGAGATGTCATTATTCACCGCGTGGGACCGGTACCGAACCGCACTTTACCTTTCCACCCACTTCCTCTCCAGCATAAGAACAACGTGACAGTTTAAATACCTTTTGTGCCTGCAGATCCACGGCATCTACATCCACGTCTTTGTGTTTCTGGGATGCATGATTGGACTCACTCTGTTTGTGGGTGTCGTCATTGCAAACTTCAATGAGAACAAGGTGAAGGAGACACTCGCAGCACCATGCAGCACCATGCAGGGTGGGAGTGGGGGGTCCAAACCGTGTGACTGATGCCTCCAGGATTTTGAAGTGTTGTGTGTCTCCCATCGCCAGGGCACGGCTCTCCTCACGGTGGACCAGAGGAGATGGGAGGACCTGAAGAGCAGACTGAAAATAGCCCAACCTCTGCACCTGCCCCCTCGCCCAGGTGCTAAATCCGCATTCAATAGTCCTTGTTGTCCATTGAGGACTGACCTGCCTTCCAGCAGTAGTAATGGTCCAGCTGAATAGCAGTAAGACAATGTGCATGTCAGTGCCCAGTGTATCACATGTTGAAGTCAACTACCGGCTTCATCTGCACTAAAAACACTAAAAACCTTTCACAGAGTTCCACTGGGTGGATTAATGTTGACTTTGCATATTTGATTACACATTTAAACCATGTGGCTGTCGCAGAAATTCGGAACAATCATCCTGTCATCAGTGTGAATGGGTGAATGATGTCATGTAGTGTTAAAGCGCTCTAAGTGGTTCTACGAGTACACTCCATTTACCATTTCCCATCTCGCTCAGCACTGGCAGAGCATTACAGGCCGATCTGGCCCAAACTCAAACGCTTTGACTCAAAAGTGCTTGTAAAGATATTGTGTCTGTGGTCGTTAGTTATCTGAAGGACACGTTGTTCCCCTTCTATCTCCTCTTCATAAGATAGTTTAACGGCCTTGATGTGGACACTGTGGACAGTTGTGACTAGCACGAAACAAGCAAACACACAAAAATATGCATGCAAATGGGAAATCCACGTCAACTGCGCTGTGCAAATCCAGCCGCACACACTCAAACTCCAACACACAGGCCTCGGCTCGGCTTCTCATTGCCATCCTGGTGGTAAAGAAGAGAGGAGGGACAATGTCCTACTTTAATCCAGGTTCTCACGGAAGGTCCACAAACTGACGTAAAGACAGTTTGAATAATGCACACTAGGCACGAGTAACTGGGAGTTGCCGGTTGGAAATACTTCCCTCATGATTTTAGAGCCCCCACAAAATTTGGGAATTGAGGCTTTCTGGGGTCTTAACTGTCTAGGGGATATTTCCTTTTTAAAGCAGCTGAAGTCTTTTAATGGGCCCAAAAGAAGACTTTCATCACTGCCCAAGCGGTCCATGAGTGCCACCTGGTGGACAGCAAGGATAACTACCACGGATTTATAGATCAGTTATTTTTTTAATTGTTAGACCACTGCTAAAGCCATTATAGACATGGTCATTCGAATCAATGAGTCAAAGAGTTCCATCGCTGGACAGTATGAGCATGTCAAATGGAATAAGTGTTTGGTTTTAAAGGTGTCCCCTCTCTGCCTGATAGAAAACGGGGGCTTCCGGGCCAAGATGTATGACATCACTCAACACCCCTTCTTCAAACGGGGCATTGCAGTACTCGTGCTCGCACAGTCGGTGCTGCTCTCAGTCAAGGTAAAGCCCCATGTCTCATAGATGTGCCATTTCGCTTCATTATGTTGCTTAGTCATTTCATTTTATTTCTATGAGCTTGTATGTATCCTAGAAGTTGAGAAAAACGATGTCCCAATGCGTTGCATTAATAAGATGGGAAGTAACTTACTGACATGCGCGTGGACCTGCTCTCTTTTCCAGTGGGATGTGGACGATCAGGTGACGTTTCCTCTTGCCACCATGTCGGTTGTCTTCACTTTCATATTTGTACTCGAGGTGAGCCCGTTACCCCCTTTGAACGGTATACATCGGCTGCACTGGGCATCGACGTGCATGTGACGTTACTTGTCGATGTCCTGTATGTTCCAGGTGACCATGAAGCTCATAGCCATGTCTCCCGCGGGCTACTGGCAGAGCAGGCGGAACCGCTACGACCTGCTGGTCACGTCGTTGGGCGTCATCTGGATCGTCCTGCACTTCTCTTTACTGGTTCGACTAATTCCTGACACACACAGAGGGAACAATTTACGAGATCTTGTGCCTGTAACGTTACATTCAACTATATCACCCCTCTCCCTCTAGAATGCATATACCTACATGATGGGCACATGTGTGATTGTCTTCAGATTCTTCACGATATGTGGGAAGCATGTGAGTATGTTTGTGCTGGAGAATCTTTTGCCCAAAAAGTCCAAATGTGTATCCTAATAATAAACTTGTGTGTGTGTGTGATGAGTTCAGGTGACTCTGAAGATGCTGCTGCTGACCGTGGTGGTCAGCATGTACAAGAGCTTCTTCATCATCGTGGGCATGTTCCTCCTCCTCCTCTGCTACGCATTTGCCGGTGTAGTTCTCTTCGGAACCGTCAAGTACGGAGAGAACATCAACCGGTGAGGCCGCGGTTTTTTCTTTCCCCATTCCGATGAGCACTGCACTCCGTGTGCAGTGGATTCAGCAGAAGTCTTTTTTTTCTCCCTTTCTTCCCTTGCAACAGGCACGCCAACTTCTCCACAGCGGGCAAGGCTATCACCGTTCTGTTCCGCATCGTCACGGGGGAGGATTGGAATAAGATCATGCACGACTGCATGGTAAGATGAGCCCGCAGGTCCTGCAGACAAAAGAACACACTGTCCACACGGGGAAAAATGCAGTGAATTGTAGACATGATCATTTGTGCCGCAATGTTCCGTTCGTTCCGCCGCTACCACGATACATGGGAGGCAAGTGAGAAGTTACACACAGGCAATGCAACCTGCTCACATGGCTATCTGTATGGCTAGATATCACACGTTGGTTTAACTGTGGCATTTTTGGAAAACCAACCTTTTAACGTTAAATATTTCAGGAAACGATTGAAATGTCCGATCTGTCTCTTTTTCCTTTCTCCAGGTTCAGGCCCCATTCTGCACCCCGGATAAACATCGCTACTGGGAGACCGACTGCGGCAACTATGCCGGGGCGCTTATCTACTTCTGCTCCTTCTATGTGATCATAGCCTACATCATGCTCAACCTACTCGTGGGTCAGTGTGTGCAGGTGCTCTTGTGTTCGTGACATTGTGGGGACCATGTCCTTTTTTTTACACATCTTAGCGGACACCACTGTGTGAGTGCACAGAAGCCCTGCAAAACCATCACAAACGTGTTATTTAGCCACAGCTAAAGTGCTCTGTGTCATGGTGCTTCATGCAGTGCTCACGGAGCGCACTTTCAAACGGATGAAAGGTGGGGCGAATAAGAGTAACCAAACCGTCATTTTGAAAATTGTTTAAAATGTCTATGGTCTGGTTTAGTGGACTGTATATTTATGACATTCACTTTCAAATTAGTTGTATGTATAGATAATTGATGTTATATTAGAACTGTTATATTAGAACACACAGTAGCTTAGCTTATACGGAGCTATAAAGGGAAGCCTAACAACCTGCATCAATGTAACACAGACACTACCAACTGATGCAAATTAAAAAGAGGAATTTGACCTTATAGAATTTTGTCGTCTGTGACTATTAATACCGTTGCTTTTTGTGCAGCCATCATCGTGGAGAACTTTTCTCTGTTCTACTCCACCGAGGAGGACCAACTGCTGAGCTATAATGACCTGAGGCACTTCCAGATCATCTGGAACATGGTGGATGACAAACGGGAGGTGAGACATTAGTAATAGGAGAGTGCAGGAAGACACAGCGGAGGCGAGAGGGTGATGATGAAATGGCTAGGAGCAAGGCATAATATGAAGAAGATAAAAGCAGGGTGAGAGCTAATGAGAAGGGCCGAAGGGAAGGAGGTATATCACTAAGTAATTAAATCGAAGTTATTAGAACAGTGTGTGCCGGATTAAAAATGTAGACCCTCGGATCATTTATCCATGATGCCGTCCAATGCAGCGACGTCCTCCCGGGTTGTAAAAAGAGATTACACTGTATAATGCATAAGCATAACTAGTCAGTGCACATCTTTATGTGTATGTATTTATTTTTTATTTCACCTTCCCCAGTAAGTAGCTGTGACTGTGGCCTGACAAACCATCCAACCACCTCTAACGAGCAATATCATTAAGTGCATTTTACACTGACACTCATAAAGATGTACAGTCCAGATCTAAGTCTCAGCATCGTCCATGGGGAACCTTTTGACTTGTACAACTGCCCCTCCAGGGGGTGATACCCACGTCCAGGGTGAAGTTCCTGCTTCGTCTGCTCCGGGGCAGGCTGGAGGTGGACCTGGACAAGGACAAGTTGCTCTTTAAACACATGTGCTACGAGATGGAGCGACTGCACAGTGGAGGCGATGTGACCTTCCATGACGTCCTCAGGTGAGCAGCCCGACGCACACTGCGCGGCGGAGACACAGTCAGGACACGGACCTACATCTCTACCACTCACCCAATGAAGTAGTTGTATCACCTCGAGGGACATTTGCACCCACCGGGTAGTCACGGCAACTAATCCAGAAGTCGGAGAATATAACCAGACAGAGAGTCAGAGTTAGGTAAAGTAGAGTTAAAGTAAAGAGTGATGTGGTCAGAAAAAGTGGCCACAGCCTTTAATCAAGAAAGGACGGACTCTTAATGTTAATTCTCCCCACAGGCCGTTCAAAGGCAAACAGTCTCATGTATTCCGAGACCATGGAGAATATGAAAAGCGTCAATGTGAAGTGCCACAAAGAGACAAAAGCACAAAGCGAATGTATCCACTTACACCCAGAGTGAAGGCGCAGGCAACAAAGAGGACAGTATATTGTATTTTAAGCGCGCTGTAAATCCTTTACGTTCTCTACACATGGCATCAGTTGCACCTGTGGCCACGTTGATCCTTCTCTGCTGCTCTCTCTTACAAAGGATGTTGGATGTTAGATGGTCAAAACTGAATTGAATATAATCAGAATCCTCACACAAACAATGCACTGCCAACAGTGATGTTTAACAGAGAGAATGAAGCTGTATCAACAACAAACCAACAACATTAATTCCTGCACATTCATTTTTCTTTTTAGAAGATGAGAAGAATAAAATATTCTAGCTTTTTTGAGTGACATCACTTCTAAATCTAACGGAAGGTAAAGCTGCAAGGAAAACACAGTTCAGTTAAATTCATCTTGCTTGGATTAAGCACTTTATTTTGAGATTTTTTATTTTATTTTCCAAACGTTATGTATTTTATTTTTTTCCATATTTTACTTGAAATAAGGGAAGAACAGGTATTAATTATTAGATTTTGTAATATTTATAGTTAATTCAGTTCAATGTGAAAACAGGCAATGAACATTGTTGGGATAATATTCCACTTTCTTGATTTGATTTGTCAACTGTTGACTACATACAGATGTTCACACAACTGCAAAGCTACTTTCATATAAATGGATGTCGTAGACTCAAATGTCAGATCTAAATTCAGGGAGGATTTCATCCGTGATTTCTCCGAGGCACCATCACTACAGGACATTTTGAACGGTAGCAAACCCTGCTTCTAAGGAGAAGTGGGGACTGGATGTCTTCAGCAATTTGATACTACCTGATTTAAAACCAATAATTAAGGATATGTAGGGTTCATGCAGTGAAATCATCATTTCAATGTTTCAGTCTTTTAACGTCAGTTCTTGATAGTTTGGTGTCCTTTTGCTTCAACGTTAAAGTATATTTTGGCTTGAAAGCCCTTTGATTTAACTTTTAAGCATAATTCTATTCCATTGAGAATGTAAATCTTTTGGCTGTGTGGTTTGTTTTCCCTTTGTGTGTGTGTGTGTGTGTGTGTGTGTGTGTGTGTGTGTGTGTGTGTGTGTGTGTGTGTGTGTGTCATGCAGCATGCTGTCATATCGCTCCGTGGACATTAGGAAGTCTCTCCAGCTGGAGGAGCTGTTGGCCAGAGAACAGTTGGAGTACACCATTGAAGAAGAGGTTGCCAAACAAACCATACGCATGTGGCTCAAGAAATGCCTCAAACGCATCCGGGCGGTCAGTCTCCCGCAACAAGCGCTCTTCTCAAAAACACACTCGTTCCCGGGACGAAAAAGTCCCAAACGCACCCGTACAGACCAAACGGAGGCATCGCGCACTGACCCCATCCTGTTTGTGGGCCCTCTCGCAGAAGCAGCAGCAGTCTTGCAGCATCATCCACAGCCTGAGAGAGAGCCAGCAGCAGGAGCTGAGCCGCTTCCTCAACCCCCCCAGCATAGAGACCACCTTGCCGAGCGAGGACCACAACATTAACAACCCAAACAACCCCTCGCAGCCTGAGGTGGAGCCCCCCCCCCCCGCATCAGTACCAACACCTGCACACAGTATAGCAGGTGCATCCTATAATCTGTGTGCTTGCAGTGGTGAAACGTGTCTTCTCTTCTCTTTGTTCAGATGAGCGGCCTCCAGCAGCTTCTGAGCCCCACGCTGTCAGACAGAGGAGGGTACAGGCAGGACTCCTCGGACCTGGGGAGGCCGCAGAGGAAGCTGGGACAGTGGCGACTGCCTGCAGGTGCGTGCGGCTCTGTGTACTGGGTGTTGTCACAGCTGTGCATCATACACAGTTAATTCATTAGCCAGTCAGTAAAACCGACATATTACCATTCAAATTTCTACTAAAAACACTGTCCATCGCCTTTGACTGTGTCGGAGCACCACGCACAATCGATCCAAACAACCTCTCGTCCGGCCCTCTGTCCTGTGGTCCGCCTCTTAAGTGCAGCTTGATCCAAGACGCCGAGATTGGAGGCGGGTCTCTGTAAAGATGTGGGCTAATCAATCGAACAAGTTCTCCTTTAGACATTAGGTGGGTAAAGTGCCTCAGGTCCCAACTACGTCAGCTTACCTTCCAATCTCGGCGTTCGTTGGCGTTTGGTCCCTCCGGTGCGGCTGGGTGCTCGACCGTGGGCCGTTGTTGCCTCAAAGCCCGCTCCCCATGAATGAACCAAGCCGCAATCTGTTCCAGTTATGAAGGCAAAATGACAACGAATTGAGACAAAAGTGTGGCAAAATTCATGCAAGCTACCAGCCACATCATATACGATCGCGATGAAAAGCAGAATCCTCATCATGTGTTAGCAGATGACTTAAAGGCCAGCGTGCTCGAAAGCAATTTATCAATACCACTCGGACTACAAACGAAAGGAATAAAGCTCCTGATACCAAAATCTTGTTCCATTAGCGACAGATTTAACACATGGAGGCAGATGCTCTTGGTGGACATGAGTGGAAGCCCAACAGCTTGTTAACAACAGTGGCCTTGCTGTAGCCAAGACTGCCGTCTCCTCTGTGTGTGTTTGCCTGTTCCAGGTCGCACCAGTGTGAAGTCCATAGTGTGCAAGATGAACCCCGTCAACAACGAGGCTTCCTCGGGATCGGAGGTGAAGAAGTGGTGGACCCGTCAGCTGACGGTGGAGAGCGACGAGAGCGGCGACGACCTCATCGACATTTAGACCCCCGGGGTGGTTTTTTTTCTCAAAGACGAGCCGGCGGAGGTTCTGCTCGGTGGGAAACAATGCGTGGTTAAAGTCTCTTTTCATGCAGGTTCACAGCTGCAGCGTCTGCACGCTGGTGACTGACGGGACATCCTTTGGGAAGCCATCGTGACATTGCAGTGGTGATCTTGCACCTCTGGGATAGGTTTTACTTTTCCTCTGTGATTTCCACTCATTGTGATTGCTGAGTTTTTCTATGCAGGCACATTTACGGTGTAAATTCAGACTGCGGCACGAAGAACAAGTTCCATTCACGACACAAACCGAGACGCTGCTGCTCTTTGTTTTTCCCTCTGAGGTTTCACATCCACTTTTGAAAGCTGTAATTGTGTTTGTTGTCTCTACAACAATGTGTCCTTTCCTGCCTCATCTCTGTTCTCCTGTTTTAGTCCATGTTTGTGATAATGTATCTTCTGTATTAATCATTTGAATATGGATGTTCTTCTTCTAGTCACTTTATACCTATAAACACGGCCTCTTGTCAGTAGAACAAGAGAATTAAAGCAACTTTTAGATTGATGACTGATTGTAATTCAAGTTAAAATCTATCTAATGTATTTGTGGGGCGATAAAACATGATGTATTTTATAAATTATTATAAATGCTAAGCTTTATTGAATATTCAATTATTATAATAAAGGCCTTCACGGGCATATATGAAGAAAATGTATCGCTGAATTTCATTTATTTTACATCACATACTTTTATCAGCCCGTGTGACTCTACCTCTCTCTGTTAAACCGTCCCATAATTCCTTTAGAAAGCTTGTTTGCCCTCTTCACCGCCACTTGTTTTACACCGCGATTCCATTTAAATGAACCCTCTAAAAAAAAAAGAAAAAACAGCAAACCAGGATCAGACTAACGAGGGGGGTAATTGAGTGGACAGATGCTGTTTAATGGTTCTCCACGCACACATCTGCTCAGATCAAACGCTCCTCTGGGCAACACTGCCCTCTCCTGGATACACGCGCAGCCGCCCTGAGGAGCTGCTCCCGATTCCTTGTGACTGAATGATTCTGTTGTATCCCGTCGTTGCTCATCCCGGCTCCCAATGCCCCTTTCTTCATTTCCCTGCGATGGCAGGTGATGACGGTCGTGTCTCCGATTCTTCTTTTGGGCCTTGATGAGCTCCGTGTCCAACCGTCGGCTGGGAGCAGCAGAACGACACAACAAAACAGCACAAACAGAGGTGTGAGTCTGTCAGTGTGTGTGTGTGTGTCAATTACCCTCTCATTTCACTCCTCGTGCTCCTTGATAATGTATTTTTTCTCTCGTTAATTGATCAGACAATCGCTCGGGGTCAGAAGCGAGGTGGTTGACTAATGCTAATGACTGCCGGCTGCAGCTAAAGCCCCCCCCCCCTCGCCCAACAAGGCCCTTGTTCGACGGAGAATAAGCCCATTAGATCAGACCGGGTCTCCATTTGTCCGTTGAAAAAGCCCAAAGTAAGTTTCACAGTCGATGGGCTGGATAATTAAGGTGAGTGGGGAGAAAAGCAGAGGGAGAATCAGCTGCCTGTGGGACGCCTACTTGCCCTATAGAAATTATGACTTACTCACACATTCCAGCCTCTCCACATATGGTCCTGTAGGGAAACAGTGTGACATCAGCCCTCTTGCCAATCATCTGTCTTTAATTCCTCCTGTCTGCTCCTCCTCCGTAGCCTCTTAAGCTCCACTTAGTTCATCAAAAGGCTTTTTCTCTGCTTTTTTTCCTTATTTTCGCCCGGCGTGGTAGAGCGCTTTTTTTTTTTTTTTTTGTCTTTTAATTGCCTCTGCATCATACCGGCTCTTACGGGGCCTGTTGTTTTTACCCTCGTGCGTGTCCACTGCTTATTTAGGGTCTAATTGAGGCACTTTGGTAATTGAGGAGGAAGTTCTGAAGAGCAGGGGGAGTGGAAGAGCGTCTCCGAGTCGAGATTACCTGTAATTAAAGAACGCGTTAGCTGTGATGGCTCGGCCCCCCTCCCGTTGAGATGCCGTTTTCAAACGCTGGCGGCAGACGCGGCATCGCTCGGAGTGAAGAAAGCCCACTCTGACCACTCTGCAGCGTGACACGACACACACACACACACACACACACACAGGGATGCATGACAGTCAGAGCCACCCAGGAGATTCTTCACTAAAAGACACAAACTAGAGTCATTAACGGGCTTTCAGTCAGTCACTCTTCCACGCCGCTTGACCTTAGAGGGCCGCGGCCCCAGCCAGCATCGCGTGCTGAACGGGTTTGAACCCAGGACCACCACAGCCTCGTGTCGCCCCCTTAGTGGACCTACACACAGCTAATTAAAAAGTAGTTCTGGAAGAGGAAGCGTTGGGAAGCAAGTGTCATTTAGAGAGACTCCCCACAGGGACCATGTAACCATGCTATCTGATTATTAAGCAGAAATGAGGTGTCATTGCCCTTGAACGTGTGAACTTACTCGTACAGTCTATTTTTCCTGGGATTCTTACTTTATTGCCTATTTCCTTTGCCTTGAGAAAAACTCATCGTTTTGTTGTCTTCCTGAACAAAAGCAAGTATCACACATTTAAATTGGTCTCACAGTTTATTTTCTGTAATCAGACGGAAAAATCTGATTTCCTTTATTTGTCCAGTAAACCAGCGCAAAGCGAACACGATGCTGCCACGCCGTCACTGGAACCCGAGCTCACCTTCCAACAATAAAACACACGAGCAGAGACCCGAGGAGAGGAGGCGGCGTGCACCCGGCCCACATCAGCCCAACAGTAAGACTGATTACAGAAGATATGAGGTGAAGCAGGGTGAAAGCGCCACCATTTGTTCCTCTGCAGACACTATTGAGAGTGTCCGTCTGCTGCCCCGAGCAATTAAGCAACCGGGCCGGGTTAAAGCTGGGGTGAGCTTCACGAGGAGGTCATTGTTTCCTCCAGGCCAAAATGCCTATGTGAGAGGACGCGCGGGGATAATCTGACACGTACGCTCGAACACCGACTAGTCAATTATGGTTTTGATACGTGACTGCATGAGCTCCGTTTTATTCCAATGGTCCATATTACTCATTTCAATGTCGCTTGCAGACCCTCATTGAGAACCTCTGCTTACACACGCAGCCTCATCAATAAGGTGGTGGCTCAGGAAAGCGGCTGCCTGTATCTCATGTCATCATCCAACACGGGTTTCGTCCTGATCCCATCACTGTATTTTGAAACAGATGGCTACTACTACTACAATAAAAAAAAAAAGCAAATTATTTTAGCAGCAGGCGGCAAAAGCAATTAACAACTGGCATAATGTGTTGATTAAAATCCTTTCCCGTCTCAATGAAGGGAGGGAAGAGTCTCAGTCCTCACCGGGTCAGTTGGCGTACGCCCACCGCCCCAAAGCACGCCGACCTTCAGCGGAACACAGCGGCGCTTTGACCTGCTTCACGCAGACATCTTTTTTTTACCCCTGTATTGGTCACAATAATACTGTTATCACTAAATGATGTAAAAAACATCCACGAACCTTTCTACAAAAACGTGTGATTCTCTTGATTAAAACATAAAAACGCTTTTAGACCCAACATAGAAACTGGAAATGATTGTGATATAAAACTGCTTTAGTTCAAATCCTTCAGCCTCACTGTTGCCACACTCGTATCAAAGCCTCCATTGCGCTGGTTTCTGTGCTTCATAATCTCCACAACGGACCGGCTGTTTTTCTGCCTAATTAGAACAAAATGTGTATTGCGTTTTCCCATGCTTGAAATGCATCCCTCAGAAGATTTCCACTCGGCCTTTGGAATCCTTTGACTCCTTTGTAAACGCGATGATTGCAGGATGTCATTTCTTTCCGGGCCTTTACCTCATGTGCCTCATCAGCAGCAGTCAATTGCCACCCCGGCGATCGCCGCGCACCAAGTGAGAGGCCGCACTTTGTCTTTGAGCCAGAAAATCTCATTTTTCGCTAAAGACCTAATCAGTCCCATTCATCTGGCTTTGGTCCCCTACTTCCCCGTTTCTACACCTGTCTTTGGCGTCTTTAATTACTGGAAGACCGGCTTTGTCTGATCTGGAGCCAAGATTGGAATATGAGTGGCGAATTCGGGAAGGAAATCATACAGGCTCGAAACCAATTCAATTACCCATCAATCAAAGTAGAAAGGCCTGTAATTGCAGTGAAAGGGTAACAATGAGCCTCTACTTCAGGCTGAGAATCCAGGGTGTTATTAGCGAGGAATAATGCCTGCCGGCAGGGGGTGCTGTGCTCCAACTATTCCATTTGGCTGCAGCGGGCAGTCTTACACTGGGGGGAAAAAATATATTTTTATGTGATTATAGCCCTCGGTGAAACATTCTCTTATAATTTCATGTTTTTAACTCTGCCATTATGTCAAATTGCGCATGAACACGGCGTTGCGAGCCAGGGAGCAGAAAATGGATATGACATTATGAAGAAGCGGAGCAATCAGAATGCGAGGAGTCGGCTGTGATGCACTGACGACGTTAAAAGAAGCAGCACTGTTTGGTGGAGGAGATTCCACACGTGACGGAGAAGCCCATCCACACTCGGGACCGAACCCGATCCCTCCCGACTCTGAACAAAACGCCTCGGCCCTCCATCCTTCAGAGGCCTTCTGGGCCAGTTGTTTGCACCAGAACATGAAACGCTTCAAAGCAAGCAAACAAACAAACAGAAGGCAGCATCAGGTGCTCCACTCAGGTCAAGCTGAAGAACAATAGCCGCCTGTGACTGCGTGCGCGCTGGGACAAAGAACACCTCAACAAGCTCCCATGCATGGTTCTTCTTTATTCCATCCGATATCAAAGACTGCCTTTAATTTTCAGTGGGGTCAGCACCCCCACCCCCCTTTCCTCAGGAAATAGGGAAGGATTTTAAAATATGTATTTGTCATCTGCGTCCTGTTACCTCTATTTCCAACCCAGTCATTTCAAGGCCCGGACGAGAGGCGTGGAGCAGGTGTGACGGAGGCAAGACGTACTGAAGTCTGCTCCCGACTGACAGAAAACCCCCACCGGCTGCAGAATGGGATGGTTTGGGACAAGCCAGGTACCAACTGACAACTTCAATTTTGCCTTGGCTTTGTCTTTGCCTTTTTCTATTTTCTCCTTGTTTTTTTCTCGTCTTTGTTGGGCTGCATTTGAAGATTGCCAATCACGATATGAAAAGAGAACGCCGTTGTCATGCAGTTTGTTTTCCAAACGTAACCTCTGGCCGCTCTGCAGTGGCTCTCCAATTTTTTTGGATTCCAAACAGATTCTAGCTGGTGGGCTCGCACGTGGGCACCAAAGCAAAAGCAAACAAAATTCAAAGGACATCAAACATTATCAAAGGGAAAATCAGTGTCCTTCATGGGCCGTGTGATGTTACTGATTATTTTCTGCTCGGCTTTCCACTGATCTGATTTTTTTTTTAAGACAGAGTAGATCGGATTTAAGAAAAGAACACACATGTGATATTTGGCATGACAACTTCACAGCAATTAATATTACACTGGGGAACGGGGTCGCCTTATTATTGGAATAAACATCTTCTTAACCCTTTTTTTTTAGTAACCAGGGAAACCTCATCTCGTCAGCCTTTTAAATACTCTTCCAAACAGACAGCGAGGGCGTTAGTGCACCATCAAATGCTTTGTTACAGTTTTACCCGCTCGATGAGGATGGAGTCCTCCAGTATCCACACAATTCATTATTACTGATGCGTCTCTGCAGGGAGTCTCTGCCTCTGTGCAGGCGCACGCACACTCACGGACCACCGTTGTAGCATCGGGCAGAATGTTTGTGTGGGTTTGCTGACTGTACAGAAGACAGTGGTGAGGGCGGGTAATGGAAGCCAAAGGGATCCAGACTCACTGGAGCGCGGACACAGGCTTTTGTTGTGCCGGCTCTCTGGGTGAAAGAAGGGGGAAGCATCCTGGAGTTCAGGCCGCCTCCGTTTCCGTCCCCTCTGAGTGCTCCCCAATGCACACCAGCGCAGCGCCTCCAATGCTTGTGCAAGTTTTGATCTTTGCAGAGGGTTTATAATGAGGAGCACTGCAGTACAGCGAGAATATGATTAGCTGCGAATAGTTTCCTTTTCAGTTTACGTACCTCGTAGACTAGAGTGTGTCTTAGTGAAATTCCCCCCTCCTCTGGGATTTATTCCTGTTTTATGGTTCCACAACTGAAGAATTATTAAACAGGAACGGACTCTTTAATGTCAAATGAAGAAAAAATAAATGAAACAAAAAGTATCCACCCCCTTTACGTAGCACCAAAATGATTGGCTACATTTTTTATTTACTTTTTAATTCCACAAGATTAGCTGTGTGAAAAGCAAATGTTGGATGGACGATTTCAGGTGAAACACATCAGCTTCTGGAAGCTCAAGCTGGTGAGTCAGTTTACTGCCATGCATTGTAAAGACAAAAGGAAACTCTATAGTGTTGGAGAGAAGTATCCTATGCCGCCTGCCCTCATCACCCAGTGACACTGCAGCATGACCAAAGAGAGGAACACGGCCACGGCACAGACATTAGCAGATGATTGTCACTGCTGAAGTGTTCGGTTTTTAGTGGTCAAAGGTCAGGAAGCCCTCACAAAACAAGTTGTGGCATTAACTTGACAAGTCATATGCTAATTAAGACAAATATCAGCCAAATGTTTTATAGGATAAATGATGAAGTGACACTCCCCTTGGGTCAATGGATCTTCTATGGATGCGTCCACGTGTAACGTTTATGCAGCAACATACTGTACACATTAAAAGCGTCGCCTACTCAGTGTCAGCTTTACTAGTTAAACATATGAACTAGTAAAACACAACCTGACTGGTTGTCGGAGGCCTACGACCGCTCGGCGGTAATAACAGTATGCTTTGGTTTTTTAAACAGGGGCAAGTTAAATGAATGCTACTTCTCACTCAGGCTGCAGGGGTCAGCAGCGGTAAACATCATCCAGTGGTTGTGCTGGTGACTGTTGACCCTTGAGTCACATGAGAATACTTTGATATATCCCTCGAGTCCTTTGGGATTATACGTATAATCATTAATTATATAGCGTTCAAATAAATCGTTATGTATAGATGTATAGTTTGCATTGTTATAATCTGTCTCTATGTTTAGAATAAATTGTTCCTCATGCTCAGGGTCTGTCGTTATCTATTGTTATAATGTAGAATGTATTGTTAGAATAAGTGTCTCGTCCTAATTACCTCCAAGCCTTTTTTGCATGGCCACAGTTTCACGGTTTCATTTCTTGTGTCCGGCCTTGTTAACTTCACAGCGCCGTCCCTCCGGAGCGGAGCTTCCTCGGGCCGTGAACCGAGTGCCTGCTGCGGCCTCTCTTCCTGCGGGCACGTCGGAGCCCTGTTAGCCTCCCCGGTGCCACTGTTAACATAACTAAGGAGCCTCCTCGCTGGCGTTTTCCTCAGCCGGGTCGACAACCCGCTGACTTCCCCTGCAACTCAGACTCCGTCTCTCTTCAGAAGCGCTGTTACAAGTAAAAGCTCCACATTCAAAACGTTACCAAAGTGAAAGTACAAGAGTGTTAACAGTGAAATAACGTATACTCGTTGTGCAGAATCTCAAGTATGATATTTACTGGAGGTCAATGGTTCTTTAAGATGTTTATCACATAATTGTTGAAGCCGGTGAAGGTGGAGCCAATTTGGTACTTTTCATACTATTATACTATTTATGTTCATTACTACTTATTATGGTATCATTCCGTTTGTATAGCTTTTAATTTATATTTATACCTACAGTAGAAACTAATTGAATAAATGTAATGAACTAGAAGCACGAAGTTGCATGACATGTATATATTTAAGTGGAGGGCAAGTACCTCAAAATTGTGCTTAAGTTCTTTGATTGAGTAGCAGGAAAAACATAAGAAATTGAATTAAAACTCCACAATATCACCATTTTCCATAATAACGAATAACTGGTATCAGATCAGACTGTCAGAATGTATGATTATATTTTCATAGAATGTGTTTGATTTTATATCCACTGTTTCTGATGTACAATGTGTGGTTGATATCCTAAACTACATTGAGGTGAGTCTTTATTTGCACATCATATAAGCATAAGAATAGTTTTCTTCATATGGTTAAATAATGTGGGTAAAGCACAATGAGCAATGAGATGGCTAAAGGATTCATTCGGGTGAGTTCGACAACAGTCCTGCACGACGTTGGCTAAAAATACACGCATAAATCATTTCACATTTACATTTTTCATTTAGCTGACGCTTTTATCCACATCGACTCACAGAGCTTTTATTTCAGTTTGTATCAGAAGCTGAACCGACTTTCTGCTGTCCTGATGAGCTCATTCCACCATTCAGGATCATGAACAATCACTAAAGCTTCTCTAAAGCAAAAAGTTCAAACGCAAAGACAAACAGCAATAAGAAATGAGATGGATAAAACTCCAATAAGACAAGAAAAACAATTTAGTTCAAATTTGAAATAGTGCATGCTTCAATTTCAACTTAAAGCAGATTTAGAATTAAATGGTGGTGACCGTCCTGATGATTGAGTGCTGAACTATTCAAAAATTATACATTAGAATATGTGTTTCTTATTTTTGAACTTTGATCGCTTATTTACTCATGAATATGTACAGATTGACTAACACGTATTAGAAAAACAAACTTTTCAGGAACTTCCCGAGTATACTTTTTTCTTTTCCTTGGGAATAAACATGAAAAAGCCCAGAGGGAACAGCGTCGAGGATACTTTTTATAGGCACTGTACGTTACTTCTGTTCTTCCTAAATGCTCATTGTAATTTCTCTGATGTATTCCCACTGCATCTCATTGCTGTGATCAATGACAACTTTAAATATAATTTTAGAATGAGACTCTAAAACACAACCTACCTACGGTAGAATTAACTTTTCAAAGCTCTGAACACGCAACCAGCAAACACTTACACACATACGTGTAATCTAGGCCAAACTCCTCCTCATTATAACAACGGCTGAGCATTATAATACTATTATGATAAGGGAACCAAGCCTCCCTTTACTGCTTCATTCTGAGCTCCTCATTGATCTCTAGTTATTATTTGTGTACATAGGGGTACATAAACATTGTGCAGGTACAAGCAGTCCTTATTCTGCTTATTACTCTCATTATATAAATCATTTATGTCATAGGCATGCTGTTCATTCTGTACACATTGGATCTGATGCTCTCTCTAATGTTTCTCACATTTTTTCTCCCCATTAAAGGTTGTCTTTTGGGGGGTTCATGTATGTACAGATTGTAAACTGATTTTTGAATTGAGCCAAAGTAAAAATCGAAATTGAAAGTTTTAAAGGTAGGGGAACTATTAAATCGTTACAGGGTAAACATTGCTAAGACAGACCAAGTGAAAAAGCTGGAAGTTCGGTTACTTTTCTGTCTAAATGTATAACTTCCACCTCCTCTTTGACTCACTGGTGAGACATGAGCAAAGAGACACTCCGTAAAAGTCAAAATTACAACCTTTCAGCTCTATGGCTGTTTGACACTTACTGCTACTGTAAATGCGACACTGCGTCAGAATGAAAGAATGATTGGCTTCACGCTGTGAGAGAGATGAAAAAAAGAAAAAGGGAGTCCGGATATGTGTTATGCAGATATATGGGCGAAAAGACTCCTTTCATGCAAGGTGGCAGTTATATACGGTCTTCACAGATTGCTTCCATGTGCAGTATCGGGCAACCGCAGGCTAATGAACTCTCCGCTGCACCCTGAACACTAATGACTCATAAAGCCTTGCTGCCACCTCGACTTGACAAATGGCAAATGTCAGCAGCATATTCTCCTGGTAGGCATAATTTTATTAAGTGTAAATATCACCGTGCTCCTTAGGAGACGCTCAAAGGTTAGACAAACAGCTGCAGCGGCGTTGTGTGCGTTTGCTGGGATTTTTGCAGCAAGTTCGAGGCTCCCTTGAGCTGATGGACGCAAGCAGTCAAGCATGAGGGATGCGATGCTCTAACTAAATGCAATAAGGACGAGCTCTGGCTAAGATCATGTTTATTTAAAAGGGACAATAACCCTAATGGAGGTCAGTAAGGTAAGGGGGGGAGGGGGGGGGGGATCAGAGTCTGGTGGCATATAAAGAGACGCATCATTTCTCCCCATTTATTGGCTGTGGTAATTTGTTGACTCACTCATCCATGCACAGCCTGTATGTTTAATGCAGGCCTCCGGAGAGGCAGAGAAGGGGAGCGAGGGAGGCGTAGGAGATGGAGAAACGGGCAATAGAGGGTTTTCAGGAGGGTCGGGGGGGGTGAATATGTACCCTTAAAGTGGGCCTCAGATGCTAATGAGGACCACTGGCCAGACTCCGTTCAATGCTGTCAAATAAATTGAAGTGGTTTAACTTCCAGGCGGTGGCCACGGATAAAATACTTGACACTTATATTCCACTGTGGTTTGTGAAAAAAGTGTGCGTGATAACAAACATGAACTCAACAAATCTTTCGGTTCAGTTTTGCCCAGCTGTCAGACGCTTGTCCGCGGCTTTTGACGCGTTGTGGTCTGACACTCGTCCTTCTTACCCAGCTGTTGCTGGTCTGCCTGCTCTGACCTGGCCCCCCCGTAAAGGGGTCATGCCCATGTGGACAAACATTGGTGGCCCGCTGCTGGAGACGGCTCCCCGCGAGTGCAATTCACAGAACGCGATACCACTGTCCGTTCTACTTAGTGACCCGAAAACATCAACCTGTCCTCGACAACTCCGGACGAAGGCTGGAGTCCCGTACGTTTCATCATTGTCGTGTATTTTGGGTAAATGTCACACTGTGAGGTTTCATGGTAAATAAGTGTTCAAATCAGTCAGTTTCTGAAAGTTGCCTGTCATATGTTGGGAGCTACTTCTCAAAGTTGTCTGTTAGAAGTTGAGGGAAGCAGAAGTGAGGAGGCGTTTGGGCCTGAGGGCTGAACTGTGTTGGATGCGGAGAAGTCTCGACTGTGCTGAGACCGAACACTTCCAGGTACTTGTAGTATTTGTGTTTTTGACAAAGGGATTACGTATCCGTTAAAGTTTTGTCTTGATCGCTCTCAGTTTTATATGCGCTTTCATATTCATGCTCCAAATATCACTTGCAGACCTTTTTAATGCTCATGATTTATCCCTTCGCTCGGAAAGGTCCTTCTTAAGCAGTAAGCTGTCCAACAAAAGCCTGTTACTGATTCGACCGCCTTTTCTGAGCCTCACATCATATTAGCTGTAGAAAAGAGATCGACAAATAACTCCCTCTGCTTGGCTTTCATCTATTTTAAGCCTCTTTGCTGAATTACAACGACTCAGTACACGTGCCAGAGACGGGGCACTGCTGTACAGAAGCCTCTCCTGGGTACAGAATGACATGAATAAAAGCCTCCAGCAACACAAACTGATGCTCATCCCGTAAAGGAATCGCCGCACTGTACATCCAACCCGCTGCCTGAAATAGCGGCGCGATGTACACAACGTGCAAAACATCTGCGTCCCTCAATCAACCCTCCGCAGACTTTGGTGAATTATGCCTCCAGAGCACAAGTACACGCGCACTTCCAATACGCAACCAAAGTGTGCTTTAGTGTACATACACGTGCAGGCCCATGTGCTCGTGTGTGTGTGTGTGTCCAGCCACTTCAGTATCACTCCTCTGTACTCTCTCTCTCTCCGCCAGCGCTGTCATAAGATAATGTGACAAGGTGTCAATCACGCCGGGGCCTGCGGTGCCGTGGCGACCAGAGGATTTTTGGCGCAACGGTTTTGTGAGCAAAACCGGGGAGAGGGCAACAGCAGGGACCGATCCACAGAACAAAAGAGACCTAACCGCCGGCAGGTCTCACACGTCCCTTATTTTTACTGCACCCCCCCCACCACCTCACCCCCCCCCTCCTCCGGCCATTTCATCCTTCCATACTTCTGGTGGGAACCCTGACCCCTGTAAGAAAGAACCCTGCGGGGAGCCACATGCTGACAAAGTGTTCGTCCATCCCCTGAAGAGATCCTCCCGGCGTCCAGCAAATGATCCGAGTGTCCGTCCCCATCTCTGTGTCCGGGGGGGGGGGGGGGGGGCGCGCTGGTACAGTAGGCCCGGATGGGCCGCTGCCACTCTCCCGCTCTGAGCCGTGATGCGTTGTGATGGCTCCGTCACTCTGGGAGGCCGGGCCGAAGACACCTGTGGAGGCACGAGGTGAAGCTGACGGAAGTGGACAGGACTTAATGTCCGTCTTTGTGTCAACAACTGCAGGTGTTGAGCAAGTGTGGCAGTCGGATATTAAGTGGCTTGTTTTATCGATTGCCTCTGTTTCATAATGATAGAGGAAATTATTCCTGAGCATTCAGCCCGTATGTGAAGCCTCTTGCGTGTCATCTGCATGTCTGTGTGACTGCAGTGTAAATGCAGCAGTGTGAATGGCTGTAGTTTAAAGTTTAGGAGAGAGTGCTTATGGAAAACATGCTCCGATGTTGGTGGATGGTTATCAGTATTTTACTTAGCTCACACATTTCTTTAAGCCTGACCATGACTTCCTCCCCGAGCAGTGCTTTTGTTGCCTAAAGATGCCAAATGCAACCGTTTTAACAACATGCGTAAAATAAAAAGGCTGAAATGCGTAATAGTGACGCACTGAAATGATGGAGATGTGGTTCTATCCATCCGCCTTGACGTGACAACATGTTGGGTCAATAGTGTGTTAATGTCATGGTGAGCTTTGTGTGTTTGTTTGTTTATTGTTTTAGATTTGGGTGCCAATATTTCTTCAGAGTTGCTGGAGACCCAAATGCAAAGCAGTGTGGCTGGACAGCAGATGTTCTGCGTTTGTGGACGTGTTGAACCTTCTTCAGCTTCAACAAACCTCTGGAAGTTACGTTTCATTCAAATGCCCTCCTGGGTTAAATTTTGTATAAAGTTATTTTAAATGTTTTATTCACATTTACACATTCTTAGGACCCATTTTAAATTACTCTTTAGTTCCTAAACCCACGGAATTAAAATAAGATACAGACTGGACAAACCTGCGAGCCACAAACATCATTCTGACTGTAGAGGCGGGCGGTTCATAAATCCTACGTCTCCCTTCAAAAGCCGACGAGACAAAAGACAAAAGGACGGCCGTGCGTGCTGTGTTTTCTGCCGGGGTTTCTTTTCTCCTCCTCTGTGTCGTGGCAGAGGCTGATGGAGACAGCGTGCGCTGTGCCCAAACAATATGGATGTGACATTTGTGGCATGTATACAGAGATGGGAAACACACCTTACAAGTAATCTGTGCAGAAGTGCAGTCAGCACAAACGTGTCGCAATGCCATCACAGCAAAATGTAAATATGGGATAAGAACAGATGCCCGCCTGCGGAGGTTGTTGACGGTGACTTGGTGACGGACGCCCGGGCTCCTGAATGCTCGTCCTGATATGAAGGGAGGGGGGGGGGGGGGTCCCTTATCACAGAGGATCACCAATCCCACCTGGTTGTCCTCCGGCCTCATGTAGAGAACAAAAGATCTCTTTCCCCAGCAGCCATCTACAAAGCGCACAGAACCGCAGTCCACACAATGGCGGGATCCGGTGAGAGGAGTGCTGAGTCGGTTTTAACTCAGATATAGACCAGCGGTACCACGTGAGCGGTCACCCACGTCCCTTATCTTTTAGGCCAAAAGAAACAACACACGAAAAGATTCTCGCTCGGAAATGACATTTGTTTCTATACTCTGTGTCAAGATTAAACTTTGAC